TCAAAGAACCAGCTCTTGGTTTCATTGATTCTTTGAATAGTTTTATTTGTTTCTAATTGATTGATTTCAGCCCTGAGTTTGATAATTTCTAGCCATCTGCTCCTCTTGGGTGTATTTGCATCTTTTATTCTCTAGGGCTTTCAGTTGGGCCACTAAGTTGTTCATATGAGATGTCACAAATTTCTTCTTGAAGGCACTTAGTGCTATGAATTTTCCTCTGAGCATTGCTTTCATTGTGTCCCATAAATTAGGGTATGTTTCCCTTCATTTTCATTGAATTCAAGGAAGCCTTTAATTTCTTTCTTTATTTCTTCCTTAACCCAGCTATCATTGAGCAGCAAGTTGTTCAGTTTCTATGTGCTTTTAGGCTTTTTCTAATTCCATTGTTGTTGAGGTCCAGCTTTAGACCATGATGGCCATATTGGATACAAAGGATTATTTCAATCTTCTTGTATCTGTTGAGGCTTGCTTTGTGACCAACTATATGGTCTATTTTGGAGAAGGTTCAATGAGGTGCTGAAAAGAAGGTATACTCTTTTAAGTTTGGGTGGAAAGTTCTGTGGACATCTATTAGGTCCATTTGATTTAGTAACTCTGTAAGTGCCTTTATTTTCTTATTAGGCTTCTGTCTAGATGATCTGTTCCTTGGTGAAAGTGGGGTGTTGAAGTCTCCCACTATCAGGGTGTTGGGATCGATGTGTGATTTAAGTTTTAGTAATGTTTCGTTTATGAATGTAGGTGCTCTTGTATTTGAGGCATAGATTTTCAGAATTGTGATGTCCTTTTGGTGGATTTTTCCTTTGATGAGAATTTAGTGTCCCTCCTCATCTTTTTTGATTAATTTTGATTGAAAGTCTATTTTTTTTCGATATTAGGATAGCTACCCCCATTTGTTTTCTGGGTCAGTTTGCTTGAAAGACATTTTTCCAGCCCTTTACTCTGAGGTATTGTTTATTTTTGTTGCAGTGGTGCATTTCTTGGATGCAGCAAAATGTTGGATCCTGATTCTGCACCCATTCTGTTAGTCTGTGTCTTTTTATTGGAGAATTGGGTCCATTGATGTTGATAGATAATAGTGACCAATGAATTTTAGTTCCTTTTATATTGCTGTTGGTGGTCTTACTGTGTTTCTTTGCTTGTTTTCCTTTCATTTTTGTTGGGATATTATCTGTATGCTATGTTTTCTTGGGTGAAGTTGTTTTCAATGGATTGAAGTTTTCCTTCTAGTATCTTCTGTAGGGCTAGTTTGCTGTGTAGATATTGCTTAAATTTAGTTTTGTCATGGAATATTTTGTTTTCTCCATCTATGTTGATTGGAAGCTTTGCAGGGTATAGTAGTCTGGGTTGACATTTGTGGTCTCTTAGAGTCTGCATGACACCTGCCCAGACCCTTCTGGCTTTCATAGTTTCTGATGAGAAGTCTGGTGTGATTCTGATATGTCTACCTTCATATATTACTTGGCCTTTTTTCCTTGCTGCTTTTAATATATTTTCTTTTTTCTGTAGATTTAGTATTTTGACTATGATGTGACGTGATTTGTTTCTTTTCTGGTCTAGTCTGTTTGGTGTTCTGTAGGCCTCTTGTATGTTAATGGATATCTCTTTCTTCAAGTTGGGAAAATTTTCTTCTATGATTTTCTTGAAAATATTTTCTGGACCTTGGAGCCTGGAGTCTTCTTTTTCATCAATTCCTATTATTCTTAGATTTTGTCTTTTCCTGGAGTCCTTGATTTCTTAGATATTTTGTGTTTGGGACTTTTGTGATTTTACTTTTTCTTTGAGAGAAGATTCAGTTTCTGCGTGTGTATCTTCAGCTCCAGATAGTCTCTCTTCCATCTCTTGTATTCTGTTGGTGATGCTTACCTTTGTGGTTCCTGATCTTTTCTCCAAGTTCTCAAGCTCAAGGGTTTTCTCAGTTTGTGTTTTCTTTATTGATTATAATTCTGTTTTCATGCCTTGTACCATTTCCTTCATCTCTTTGAATGTGGATTCCTGTCTCTCTATGATGGTCTCTCTTTTTTTTTTTTGTTCATTTCTTCTCTATATGCTACTAATTGTATCTCTACTTGTGCCTCTATTTGTTTGGCTATGTTTGCCAGTGTTTCATTAAGAATTTTGTCCATTTCCTTTTTCTTTACCTTCAATTGACTGGCCAAATCTTTGATAGATTTGATAGATTTCATTTCCTCTTTAACTGTCTGAATTTGCATGGCTATTGCTCTGAGAGAATTGGTTTCCTCTTTATGAGCCTCAAATAATTGGGTAAGCATAGCTTTAAAGTCATTTTACTGTGTTTCTGATGAATTGGAGTATCCATCAATTTTGGGGGCTGCTGTTGAAGTCATGATGTACTGATTTATGTTGGATGTGTTCTTTCGCCTACCCCTGGCCATTGGCTTATCTGAAACCTTCCCTGTTTGTTTTTGGATTCTGCAGTTCAGACTGGCACTGTCTCTGGCGTCTGGAGAGTTCTTGAGGAAGCTGAGAGAGGTCCCGTGGCCTCAGTGTGTGCGTTGGTGGACTAGCTGTACCTGGTGGGAGGAAAGTATGCAGGCGTTAAAGGGGCAAATGCAGGCGCGTGTGTTTGTGTGTGTGTGTAAGTGTGCGTGGAAGTGTGTCTCGAGGGACATAGTGATAGATAATGTTGAACCCTTGAGTGTGTGGGAGGGGCTCTGCACTGTATATGTAGCAGGCGCTAGTGATGGTCGTGGTGCAATTTCTGGCATTAACTGCCTTAACTCCTCAATTGTACCCGCAGAGCAGGGGCTTCAATGTCTCAAGTGACCCTCTGTTTCCCACAGTGGGTACGTGGATGGGAGGGGTCTGATGCCTGGCTTCTGTTTTAAAAGGACCCTGGATCTGGGGCTCTGCAGATACTCAAGGGCGCACTCACTCTCAAGCAGGTCACTTCGGCAGGGATCAGGGTATCCGGGCTCTCTGCTCTCTGGTTTGGCCCTGCTTGTTCTTATGCAGGAGGACTGATGTGCTCTGCCAGCTCAGTGCTGCTGCCGCTGTCAGGGTAGGAGGTCACGCTGCAGCTGGAGACTGGGATACCAGTCCAGATGTCTTCTGGGAAGTCCTGGGGACCCTCCACTGTGCTCTCCAAGCCTGGGAGGCCCAGTGCCTGGTGTGCTTAGCTTGTATGGTGGGTCTGCTTGGCTTTGGTGGTTATATAGCATATTATCTGTCACTGAGGGTTTGGGCAGGCCGTGCAGTCAGTGGCTAAGAGACACTGTGGGGCCAGTATGCTGGCTAGCAGACCTGGGACCCTGGGATGATGGTGCCGTGGGTCTGGACCCGCAGTGCAGGGGCCTCAGTGTCCCAAGTGACCCTCTGTTTCCCACAGTAGGTATGTGGGTGGGAGGGGTCCAATGCCTGGCTTCTATTTTATAAGGAGCCTGGATCTGGGGCTCTGCAGACACTCACAGGTGTACTCACTCTCAAGCAGGTCATCTCGGCAGGGAGCGGGGTATTCGGGGTATCCGGGCTCTCCACACTCTGGTTTGGCGTTTGTGCCTGGCTTTGGTGGCTATACAGTGTATTATCTGTCACTGAGGGATTGGGCAGGCTGAACAGGCCAAGTGACCCTGTGGAGCCAGTATGGTGGCTAGCAGACCCGAGACCCTGGGAGGATGGTGCTGCGCAGGTCTGGGACTCTGAAATCGGTACCGCTGGCAGTTGCTGCTAAGGGGCTAGGAGCCCTGCCTCAGCCGCTGCAGACCCCAGGCAGTTAGGTCTGAGCTGAGGAGGAGGGAGGTCCGAGAAAGGGGAGTGCTGGGAGATCAAAGGATCATTTCTCTCCTTCCCTAAACAAGTCCCTGGGTGACCGGAGACCAAAGTTCTTACCTCATGCCATGTTCCCTGTCGTTTAGAAAGCCACACTGTTGTTTTCCTGGCTTCAGAGGTCCTTCCACTCACCAACTCAGGTGTTCAGCTCTTTCACAGCTCAGAAATTGTGCTTGCTAGTCGCCATCTTGGCTCCACCCCCTCCAGTGAACACTTGAAAAAAAACAATTTACTCTTGGTTATTCACTTACATATGTTTTTCTTACTAATGGTGTTTTTTTTTTTTTTTTAGTTTATTTTTTATTTTACTTTTTAATTTATTATGCCAGTAAGTGATTTTAGAAACAAAGCTTTTAAGATGACTACAAACTACTGCTTTTGCTATAATACAAATATCACTATACTCTATTGGTGAAGTACTTCTAGTTTTGAACAGAATGCACTAGAACTAAAATTGTTATTCTCTTTCCAGAAACTAACTAACTAACTAACTAAATAACTAAATAACCTATTATCTTAGTAGACAACATTTTTGTTAATCCTTAATTACCTATAGTCCCATGTAGTCTATAACCTATGATTTGCCTCGGTATTTTTGCCCTTTGGCAATCAGATCCTTTCTTAGTGGTAATAGATAAATCTTGTTAATAATTAAATTATTTACGTGACTCCATTGTACTTATGGTAGAAAATAGATTTGTGAATTAATTCCATTTTTTCTTTATGAACAAATGCCAATTACAGTAAATTGGATTTTAACATTTGACTACATCATCATCTATAAACTAAATGAGGTTTCAGCTGAACATACTCTGAATGTGATTAGAAGAATCATATTTGACAAGTAAATAAAGCACACATTTTGGAAAGAATCTAGAACTTGTTAGCCAAGAAATTTCAGATCTAAGATATGTTTAGGAAAGGCTAAAGTGGATTTTTCAATTATAAAGTAAACAGAACCCAGAGCAAATAACCAAAGCTTCTCTTGCATTTTTCCCTGTGATCCAGAAATGACCACATTGATTTTTGAGCTTTTTATGTTAAAAGAAAATCACTGAGATTAAATTTCATAGCTTTGTGAAACCTGAGTTATGGCTGAGTGATGTGAAGGCCACAGCTTCTCTTCTCTTTGCTCCTTGGTGGGTTGAAGTCTATTTTTAAACCCATCTCTTATCTGCATTTAGAACAATAATGATGTGTTTTGTTTTATGCAGATCAAATTTTCGGAATCGGACTACTTTGGCAATGTACTGCAAACCCGCAAGTATTTAGCACAGTCTGATTTCTTCTGGCTAAGAAAAGCTGTTCCCAAAACAGAGTGAGTATTTTTAAAAGTGTAATAGATAAATACGTTGGGAGGAAGTGGAATCTCTTCAGATTAAGCTCTGTAATTTTTCTCAACTCAGGGTAGCCAGCTTGCTAGTTATTTTGTTTTAGCAAAATCTGTGCCATGGATTACTAGCTCGCTTTTCTGATATTATGTGGTATAGATCTTCCATCTATTACAGACTTCCCAGTCTTAGCATCAACACATATCAGAAAAATGCTCATTAGGATGCAAACATTAAAACTATTTCTAGCTGGAGTTATAAATACATTTACAGACAATATTTCTATGTAATTTTTTTATGTTTTCATACTCAGGTAGAAACATTTGAAAATTTTAAAGAATAAATACTTTAGCACTAAGTGTGATTAGATATGTAGAAGAGTTTGTGAGGGAAGTATCCCAGAAGGAGAAAGACAAACATGGTATATACTCGCTTATATAGACCTACAAGATATGATAAACATAATGAAATCTACACACCTAAAGAAGATAATCAAGAAAGTGGACACAGGTGAAGATGATCAATCCTCATTTAGAAAGAGAAATGGGATGTGCATTGAACGTATGACAGGAGTCTACCACAAAAGACATCTGAAAGACTCTACCTAGCAGTGTTTCAAAGCAGGCACTAAGACTCATAACCAAACCCTCGGCAGAGTGCAGGGAATCATATGAAAGAAGGGGAGTTAGTATGATATGGAAAGGATAGGAGCTCTACAAGGACCAAATATATCCAGGCACAGGGTCTTTTCTGAGACTGACACTCAACCAAGGACCATCTGTGGATATAACCTAGAACTTCTGCTCAGAAGTGGCCCGTGGTAGCTCAGTAACCAAGTAGTTTTCCAAAGTAAGGGGAACAAAGACTATTTCTAACAGGATCTCAAGGGCAGGCTCCTCCCCAGGAGAGGAGCAGTCCTGTTAGGCCACAGAGGAATACTTTGCAGCCAGCCCTGAAGATACCTGATAAAACAGGGTCAAATGAAAGGGGAGGAGGTCCTCCCCTATCAGTGGACTTGGAAAGAGGCAGGGAGGAGACCAGGGAGGGAGTGTGGGGTTGCGGAGGGAATGAGGGACCGGGATACAGCTGGGACATAGAGTTAACAAAATGTAACTAAAAAGAAAAATAAAATAAAAAAAAAAGAATTAGGAAAGTGGCTCTCAGCCTGTGGGTCATGACCCCATTGGGGTATTCAATGACCTTTCACAGGGGTCATATGTAAGATATCTTGAATATCAGATATTTGCCTTATTATTCATAACAGTAGCAAAGTTACAGTTGAGAAGTAGCAACAAAATAATTTTATTTAGCTCTGTTCCCCATTTTTTAATTGGATTACTTTGTTTGCTGCTTTTCAGCTTATTTAGTTCTTTGCATATTATACTCGATATTAGTCCTCTGTCAGATAAAGGGTTAGTGAAGATTCTTTCCCAATCTGTAGGCTGTCTATTTGTTTTGATGACAGTGTCCTTTGCTTTACAGAAGCTTTTCAGTTTCATGAGGTCCCATTTATTGATTGTTGCTCTTAGAGCCTGTGCTGTTGGTGTTCTGTTCAGGAAGTTGTCTCCTGTGCCAATGAGTTCTAGGCTGTTCCCCACTTTTTCTTCTAACAGATTTAGAGTATCTGATTTTATGTTGAGGTCTTTGATCCACTTGGACTTTAGTTTTGTGCAGGGTGATAAATATAGATCTATTTTCATTTTTCTGCATGTGGACATCCAGTTGGACCAGCACCATTTGTTGAAGATGTTGTCTTTTTTCCATTGAACGGTTTTGGCTTCTTTGTCAAAAATCGAGTATTCATAGGTGTGTGGGTTTATTTCTGGGTCTTCTATGCGGTTCCATTGATCCTCCTTTCTGTTTTTATGCCAATACCATGCAGTTTTTATTACTATTGCTCTGTAGTACAACTTGAGATCGGGGATGAAGATACCTCCAGATGATCTGTTGTTGTACAGGATTGTTTTGGAGATTCTGGGAGGAGCAGTCCTGTTAGGCCACAGAGGAGGGCTTTGCAGCCAGTCCTGAAGATACCTGATAAAACAGGATCAGATGAATGGGGAGGAGGTCCCCCCTATCAGTGGACTTGGCAAGGGGCACGGTGGAGATGAGGGAGGGAAGGAGGAACTGGGAGGGAATGAGGGATCGGGACACGGCTGGGATACAGAGTTAATAAAATGTAACTGATAAGAAAAAAATAAAATAAAATAAAATAAAATAAAATAAAAGAACCAGTCAGAAAAAAAAATCACAAAAAAAATAATTTTATGGTTGAAGGGTCACCACAACATGAATACTATACTAAAGGATCACAGCATTAGGAAGGTTGACAAACCCTGAAGTATAAGATACTCATTGTATTTTCCTACATATTTATAGGAAAATATCCTTAAAAACTTCGTCCATCTGGCTACTGTGTCTTCCCTTAGGAAAGAAAATATTGTTGATTTGAATCGTGTTGTTGTTGATGATGATGATGATGATAGCAGATAACAATTATTATTTATTTACAATATTCAAAGAGGTGCTTTTCAATTTATGTGTATATTTGCATGGTGCATCCATAGGTATATGTTTCAGGAGGATATTTGTGCCTCTGTATGTTCCCAAGGAGCCAGAGGAGGACATCAGATACCTTCCTCTACCATTACCCACCTCTTTGTGTTTTGTTTTGTTTATTGTTTGTTTTTTTTTTTTTTGAGACATGTTCATTAGACTTTCCACTAATTTTTCTCAGCTTGGCTGGCTAAGCCAATAAACTTATGGGATCAGTGTGTCTCCTCCTTTCCAATGGTGGGTTGCTGGCATGTGTGGCCACGGCTGGCTTTCATGCAGATTCTAGGGACCTGAATTTCAGGTCCTCCATCTTTAATAGCAAGTGCTCTTATCCACCGAACATCTCCCCAGTATGTGTTTTACAGTGCTTAATTGATTTTCTCATAATGTCTATTCTGGGAAGTGTGGATACTATATATCCGTTTTACAAAGATATTGCTATGATTCACCTTTTTCAATGCTTTAAAAATGTTCTTTAGATCGGATCATTTCTATTTTTATGCCCTCAATGACAGGGTTTCATTCATAAAATCGTTTCTATTTCTATTGTTTATTTTTAGTCATTGTTACTATAATACTGTTAATTGTTTGAATGTAGCTTAATTCTTTGAACCACATTGTAATGACCACTTTCAAATTCTCCCCAAATTTATTATCTGGATTTACTCAGAGAAATTTTCTGTTGATTCATCCTCTTTCCCTTTTTCTTTCTTGTAGTCTAATTTTTGTTGTTGAAAAATGGCATTTTCAGATATTAGTATAGCAAGTGTGTATGCTAATTTACTTTTCTGAGATCTTTCCTGTATTTACACTGTAGACTATGGCTTTCTGGAAGTATGTCCCTGTGGATTACTGTGTCCAATTTGTAGTCCTTTATTTTATTTTTTTATGTTTACTTCCTGTGATCATCCCATCCATGTATACAAGTTTGTGCTCAGCCAAGTGTACAGGAAGAGCAGCATTTGACTTTGAGTGCTCGTTCTGTACTATCTTGGGTTCTTTGCTACTATCCTTTTCAAAACCCTACTTTCTTTTGGATTCTTAGAAATACTAGACGCATGTGTTTTCTTTTCACTTAAACTGTGAATATCACCATCCTCTTTTCATGTTCTATATTCCCAGTCTTGACTTTGCCTATCAAACTTTCATGGAACACATATGTTTTGTAAGTTATTAACTTTAAGGAATAGGCCCAAAGCTTAATCAGTCTTTTATGTATCCCTGATTTTTGTCAAAAATACAAAGGAAAAATAAAGAGATGGTTATTTTTTTAGCTTCTTGCTAATGACAGATAATAATCTATAGCCATCTACTCCACTGTCCTTGCTTCTCTGTTCTTATCATGTTATTTCTTAGTCGGTCTATTCCATTCTCAGTCTAAATTATTCATAGGCATTCTAGATTTAGGGCTGTAAATTCTGATGACTCAAAGCAGATGACCACAGCAAATGATTTTCAATATCTCTACGACCATCTTCATGTAGTAGCGTAGTCATAGCTCAAGTCATCCTGCTCTTTTTAAATCTAATTCATAAAAACTAAAACTTTTTAAAAAATAATTCTCTTTTATTTTTGAAATTATAATGTAAGTACAACACTTTCCTTTCTAAGTCCTCCCATATAATCTTCCTTGCTCTCTTTAAATTCACTCTCTTTTTAATTAATTATTGTTACAAACATTTATGACATGAACTCAATGGCTGGCTCTTTGACCTCCCCCCTCCCCCACCTGAGAGAGGAACAGCCTTGCTAAGTCACAGAGGAGGACATTACAGACAGTCCTGAAGAAACCTGATAGGCTAGGGTCAGATGGAAGGGGAAGAGGACCTCCCCTATCAATGGACTTGGAAAGGGGCAGGGAGGAGACCAGGGAGGGAGTGTGGGGTTGGGGAGGGAATGAGGGAGCGGGATACAGCTGGGACATAGAGTTAACAAAATGTAACTAAAAAGAAAAATAAAATTAAAAAAAAAAGAAAAAAAAAAGAAAGACCTAATGATTGTTTGGATTTCCTCAGTGTCTGTTATGTTCCCCTTTTCATTTCTGATTTTGCTGATTTGGATAGTTTCTCTCTGACTTTTAGTGAGTTTGGCTAAGTGTTTGTCTATATTATTGATTTTCTCAAAGAACCAGTTCTTGGTCTCATTGATTCTTTAAATTGTTTTGTTTCTAATTCATTGATTCCAGTTCTGAGTTTGATTATTTCCAGTCATTTACTCTTCTTTGGTGTGTCTGCTTTTTATTTTTATTTTTTCCTAGGGCTTTTAGGTGAGCCATTAAGTTGCTTGTATGGGATGTTTCCAACTTCTTTCGGAGCACTTAGTGCTATGAACTTTTCTTTTAGTACTGCTTTCATTATGTCCCATAGTTTGGATAAGTTGTGCTTTCATTTTCATTGAATTTTAGGAAGTCTCCAATTATTTCTTCGTTTCT